TGAGGGAGGGAGGCTATAGGAGGGTGCCATATAGGAAGTGGGTGCACAGTTGAATAAGATGGTTTGGGATGTCCGTGTGATATACACACACACACACACACACACAAAATCAAATATAAAAATGAATTATATTTGAGAAGGAAGCATAAAAAGTTGTCATGTTAATTAGTAGAGGTGATAAACATTATCATTGAAATCTACCCAATTGTCTTTTTGAGACAGGGTCTCCCTATAGCCCCAGCTGTCCTGGAACTCCCTGGAACTCACTATGTAGATCAGGCTGGCCTTGAACTCACAGAAATGTGCCTGTCTCTGCCTCCCAAGTGCTGGGATTAAAGGCGTGTGCCACCATCCCTGGCAAAATGGAGATCTTTTTTAAAGGTTAAAAACTCATTCAATTTTATGTCTTACAGGGCTTATACTGAGTTCAATATTGTGTAACTGTATTAATTCAACAGCGACCCTAAAAATTTTATAGCCACTTTTGAAAGAGATGTATCTTTGCTCTGGAAACCGTTATTGAGTATGTTAAAGCTGTAATGAAAGGGTTCTTCTAAAAAAAAAATACAAAAAAAACTTCATTGACTAAGTTTACATGTAAGAATAAACAGAACACTTGGGAAAATTCTGAAAAAAGAGGGTAGCAGGGAACATACCCTGAAAATAGGAAGTTTCTTAAACGTGGAGCAGCTTAGTGTTGTTCCAGAAAGAGGTCATTATAAACACACTCTAGAATTAGATGAGTAGAATATGGAAATGTAATAAACAGTAAGAATTTCACTGAATGAGCAAAGCAAATTATTAAACAATGAGCTTAGCAGCTGGCTAGCCAATTGGAAACAGACAAAAATACATCCTTATTTCTCCCTTGTATTCGTATTTTACCAATACAAATTTCAAAAGAATACAAATTTTAATACAAAATATTTAAAGCATACAAGAAATATTTGACAACTGAACAGTTTCAGGTGAAGAAAAGGATGAAGGATGGTGTAAGAAGCTGAAATGGCCAGGTGTGGTGGCTCACACCTTTAATCCCGGCACTCTAGAGGTAGAGGTAGGTGGAGTGTCAAGGCCAGCCTGGTCTACACAGCAAGTTCCAGGCCAGCTGGGGCTACAGGGAGACCCAGTCTCAAAGACCCCCCCTTCCAAAAAAAGGCTGAAATGGAGGACAAAGTTCAAAGGAACTCTTACCCTAGCTTACCATATACAGCATTTCCAAAATCCTCAAGAGACTGTGACCAATAAAGTTGCCCTGCTTAAAAACACTTACTCTAGCTTCTGAAATGTACCATGGTTCTGAAAACTGGGAGCCCCTCCACCAAAAAAGAAAAAGCAACAAAACCCAAGTCCTGATGTAGCCAGATACCTGAGGCTGGATCCTCCACAGCTCTCAGGTTCTGTCCACATGCCCTTTGGAATCTTAAGCATTACAGCACTGCAGGAAATTCCTCCCAGACTTCTGTGACTGAGCCCTGAGTCAATTTTTATATTGATGAATCTGAACTGCACTAATCTGATCAGTTTCCTTAATCGGTGTACTTCTGTTTATAAAAGTTGTCTATCAGTTACTTTTCTCTCCTACTTCTAATTTGGCATTATCATCATTTCAGTGCTATAGTAATTCTGAAACCAAGGAATCGTTGCCAGTGACAGTCTATTTCTGGTTCTAAAACTTACATTTCTGTTTATTAGACAAGGCCTTGCCAGGCAGCTCCAGCTAGCCGCCTTCTTCCTGACTCATCTTCCTGAGTGCTGAGATTACACATCTTTCTGTTTCCTGACTTAAATTATATATATATATATATGGTTCATCATTAAATAAGCTTGAAAGTTAGCAGCTTCTTTATCCTCCTCAAATAGACTTTTACCTCCTCTTGTTCCTCTTCATCATATTCTTCCTGTTCTGCAGCTTCGTCATCATCGTCGTCATCATCGTCTTTAGTTTTCTCTTTGCTTCCTTCTTTCTCTTCATTTTCTTCATCTGATTTTTCACCATCACCTCTCTTTTCCAATTCCTGGCAAAGTGAGATTCATTATATGGAAACCATTACACTCTGATCTCCATGCCCAGTCATGGGCATGGAGAACAGTTATGGATCACTGTGCTTTAACAGTTATGGATCACTGTGCTTTAATCCTAAACTAACACCTGCCCAGACTCCCACCACAGAAACTGTGAAGGTACTATCATTACATTGCCATTTCTTTTACTTTCTTCCTCATCCGGCCTCAGATAATGATGGGGTTATTAAGCTAATGCATATTGCTTTATTTATTTACTTATTTTTTTGGTCTTTTTGAGACAAGGTCTCCTGTAGCCCTAGCTGGCCTGGAATGTACTATGTAGACCAGGCTGGCCTCGAACTCACAGATATCAGCCTGCCTCTGCCTCCCAAGTGCTGCGATTAAAGGTGTGCACCACCACGCTCGGCCATACTGCTTTATTTGTACAATTCCCATCCTAACTCTTTCTCAAATATTTGACATGATTTAGTTTATAGAAAACTTTCAGAGTTTATTTTTTGTTTTCCTTTTAATATAAAGGGTGAAAAAATATAATGGCACTATTTCAAAATGTCTACGCTTTAGTTTGTAAGCGGGACTGCTGAAACTTAAAATTTAGTCATTCCGGATTAATTTATCCTAGTTGCAGATTATCCTTTCCTGTCTCTTTTGTCTTTCATTACAGAAATTTTTGCTTCATAATATATCTGGAAAGTTGGGAAGAAAGATTAAAACTCAAGCCATGGCAGGTGTGGTGATGCACACCTTTGATTCCAGCTTTGCTTGCTTGGTGTTTCTACTCGTCTACTCTAAACGTTATTTTGCTATTATCTCACAAGTTTAATTCCACAATTATATTTATGTTTGTATTGTAATTACCAATACATTTTTTCATTTGACAAAAATGACTTGTTTTCATTATTTTCTGTATCTGGTCACTAAAGTGGCAATGCTCACTCTGTCAAGGGATAGAATGTCACAAATTTTCTTGGAGATGGGAACAGCAAACCCATTAATATTCAGAAATAGGGCTTTATATTAGCTAATTTGTGATTGGTCTCAAAAATTAGGACCATAATTCATGAGTCAAAGGTTTGTATATTACATGTGAAGAGAAGACATTTTATTTACATCTGTAGTAACTATAACTTAGCCATTCCTTAACACACTATTTATTTTTCAGATTATTTTAATTAAATCCAGATTTGAAAGGAAAGAAACCAAAGGCAATAAAAGGACTACTTCAAACATCCTCACTTGAAAAGGAATTTTTTTGCATTTTTATGTGTGTGGTGTATATATGTGTATATACTTGTGTTCACATGTATGTGGGTATGTATGTGGAGGCCCAAAGTTGACATTAGGTGTCTTCCTCAATCACTTTCCATTTGTTATCAAGCCAAGGTCTCTTGTTGAACCCGGAGTTCACAGATTCTACTGAGCCAGCCAGCCAGCTAGCTAGCCTCAGAGATCCCCTCCCCTTTTTCTTGCCATCATAAGTGGCTGCCAGGCCCACCCAGCTTTTATGTAGGCGCTGGGGATTCCAACTCTAGTCGTTAAGCTTGCACAGCAAGTGTAATCTACTGAGCCATCTCCCCTGCCCACAAGACTCAATTTTTAATAAAAAATTCAAGCTTCCCTTTTCTGTATGTTCACCTCACTCAGGCAGAACAAATTAAAATGAAGATAAAAACATAAGATGATTTATCTTGATAATGACCCTTATGTTGCCTTATGAGTTATTATGATAATATAATGTGTGCAATTTTTCCAACTGGCAATCTCCTTGGAAAATTCCAAGAAAGCAAATATGTTCACAAATCTGAAATATCTATGAGACATACACATATATGATGCTATGTTAATATTAATTAACATGGTACTATGTCTCTTCTATTCTAACCAGATCATATGTAGAAAGGCCTGCAACTAAGTTTGGATAATGAAAATGGAACTATGCTATATTTATTTTACTCTGTGCAAAGTATACTCTGATTCTGAAAAAAGATGCCATGAATTATTCTTCATAATTAGCAACAAAATTACTTAGATCAGTTTTATAAAAGAAACTGTGTTCTAAAACTTCCAGAATTCATTCATTGTGGCGTAGGGATCAGGAAATCTCCATTTCTACTACTGCCAAATCAAACACTTAAGTAAACAGCCTCATCTTTATTCTTATCACATCAACCCAAGTCAAACCCATGAAATAAATCAAGAGAGAGAAGCATTCTATGATCTTCTTCATGTTACCAGAGCCACATATTTTCTCATTTCTTCACGCTTTTTCCATTAAGCTAGTGGTTGGCTATGTCTACTTACTAGTCTCTACTTTCTCTTCGATGAGACTGAGCTACCTGTGCTCACTACTACTTTACAGGTTTGGGGAGAAAAGCATTAACAGAATGTAAAAGCTCTTTGAAAGCAGTGAACTTGTGGACATCGAATAGTTCTTGTAGGAGTTGGAGAAATGGCTCAGTGGTTAAGAGCAGCAGGTGCTCCTGCAGAGGACCTGGGTTCGGTTCCCAGTACCGACATGGCAGCTAACAATTGTTGGTAACTCCAGTTCTAAGGGGATCTGACGCTTTCTCTGACCTCCATGGGCACTGCACAACACGGGTACACTTACATATACGCAGACAATACATACTCATACACTCATACTCAAAATAACAAAAGTTTTAAAAAAAAACATTCTTCTAGTGTAAATACTACACACACTATGGAGCCTCCCCTGCCTGTAATGCAGAAATAAGAAGTGTACGTGTCATTTTGCTGCTGTGTGGTTACTTGTGAGACTTGCCTCTATGTCCTGACCTCCATCTACAGATGCTGCTGTAATAAAACTTGAAACTGAAGAAAACGATCATCTGGAAACAATTTTTGCTCTTTCAAAGCTGTAAACTCACTGAGATCTCTAAATTTAAAATGTTCTGGAAAAAGTGTTAAATATACGCAGTAAGGAAACAATTCGGTCTAAGGAGAAAGTACGTCTAGAGGTAAAGATTAATCTTTAGAAGGCCTTACAGCCATCTTACAAAACTTCTCCAAGAAGCTTTAAGAGCAGGCAGAACTTCTGTTCTATCAATACAAGTCAGCTAGTCTTGCAATCCTATCATTCTATCATGGTTAAACCTGAGAGCTGTTGTTATTCCTTCATCAGTCTTCCAGGTTTTACTTTTCAGACATACTATTTCTATCTTCAGCATTGGTCAAAAAATAAAATAGCAAAATTAGGAGCCTCTCATCAAGTAGATATGCCAATGTGGCTAGCAATAAATGTCCTAAACCTTTGACTTCCATCCATAAGGACTAAAACAACCAACCTCTTCTTGTTTTACAAGCCCTTAAGGACATAATATATGCAAAGCACCCATCAAAGTGCCTGGCATGTGGTAAGCTCTCAGTAAGTGTTGTCATCATTGTTGTCGTCGTCATCATCATCATCATCATCATTATCATCAATTCAAAGCAAGGGAATGAACTGGTATAACCTCCATGGAGAGCAATGGGCAATCATTAACAATTTCTTACAATTAAAACAACTGAACCAATAAGCCCACTTTTCATGTAAAATGACATACATCACATGAACTCAATGCATCATTATTTATAACAGTAAAACACTAGAAGAAACATAATATTCATGAGCACAGCATTAATGAAATTAAATATAGTTATTCTAATAGTACTGGCAATTAAAAAAAGGAGGCAATTCTACACAGTTGGGTATGGAACCATGTCCATGACATCAAGTAAAGTAATAAAATGAAAATGGAGAAGTGTGATATACTGCCTTTTGTTATCAATGGGGGAAGTTTTGTATTTGTTATGCATAAAATATTTTTGAAAGGATATATAAGAAACTGATAGCATTAGGAGCCTAGAAATAAATGACTTGGACAGGGATGGAAAGACAAATTTTTAGAGTATTAACCTTTAAATTTTCATATTTATTTATTTAAAAAATAATTAAAGCTATAAAAATATGTCCCATAAAGTAACATTTTCCCCTTCAATTGGGGGGGGGAGGTGGATTAAAAGCACATATACACCAAGAAGAGGAAAAGTAATATTTTTAAAATTTAAAATATTAATTTTGGGAGCTCAGCGGTTAAGAGCACTGGCTGCTTTGGCAGAGGACCTTGGTTCAGTTCCCAGCACCCACAAGGCAGCTAACAACCATCCTTAACTCCATTTCCAGGAGAATCTGATGCCCTCTTCTGACCTCTGTAGGCATTGTACAGAATGGGTGCATTTAACGTACATGCAGGCAATACACTCATACACATAAAATAAAAAAATAAAAATTTTTTAAAAAATCACATTTTATGTATGTTAGTGTCTCATATTTCTGCCCCCCCCCCCGACCCCTGATAATCCAAATACAAAAGGGGAGTTGAGAATACAGTAGAAAAGAAAGTCTGGGGTTGTAGGTAGTTAAAAAGAATAAAAAAAAGAAAGCAAGCCTGGGAGAGAAAGTGAGGCACGTAGCCAGGTGTGTGGTCAAGGACAGGGAGGCTCGTCTACACCTCCAGCTAACAAAACTGAAAGCCTACCTTATGTGTTGGGCTCTCTTCTGCCAAAGCCACATTATAAAAAATAAGAGAAGGCTGAAAGGTTAAAGAAAACAAAAGAAGTCTGGGGCTTCATATTTTTTTGGTTCATTTTGACAGTTGAGAAAAAAAAAAAAATCTTACCTCAATTTTTTTCAGCACATCTGCAGTACTTGTGAGTGGACTGCCCTTGTCTGCAGCTTTTGCCTTTTTGGATTTTGGATTCTCTGAAATAAAACATCCATTGACATTTCTGTAACAACTATGGTCCTACCCCTACACCTTTCCTGTGTTCCGTGGCACTGTGGTATGTCATACCAGACTGTCACGCAATTCCCAGAGTAAAGTAATTGCCACACTTCACCAGCTCTGAACACATTGCAATCACTTCATAAGATATATTTTTTTAATTTATTATTTTTATTTTATGTGTATGAGTGTATTGCCTGCATGTATGTGAGTGCACCCGTGTCGTGCAATGCCATGGTGGTCAGAAGAAGGCGTCGGATTCCCCTGAAACTGGAGTTAAGGATGGTTTGTAGCCACCACGTGAGTGCTGGAAATCAAACGTGAGTCCTCCGCAAGAGCAGTCAGCGCTCTTAACCACTGAGTCATCTCTCCAGGCCCTTCATAAGATATTTTTAAGGACTGCAACCAGGTATGCTTTTACTAAGTACTGAAATTTTGTTCTAACAGTATCATCAGGGATGAACTCTGCTATGACGTAACCTCAAATGGAAGCAGCAGAGCACCAATGAAGGTGCATCAAAGTCGACCTAAAGGGCTGCCTGGCCACACATCAGTGTATTCCATTTTAACTTACCCAAAGCAGTGTTTGGGAAACAATAAAGCAGCACTGAATAAATATGCACTCACTCATGGCCAAAGAGATAAAGAGATTGCATTCAGTGTTAACCAAGAACTACCTTTGCAGTGAAGATTAAAGTGGTTAAACAATGTTTCAGAGAAATTAACTGAACTGCTTTCACAGACTTAGGGTCTGTAGTTTGTTTTACTCAACCCCCAAAACTGCATTTGAAAGCTATTCTGAAACAGTAGGGAATAGAGGATTATTTCACAAAAGATTCTGCCAATTACCAAAGAATTCTCATATGCTATAAAGTTTTCCTATGATGAAGAGGAATTATTACAAACTAAAATCAAACTAAATACCAAAGAATTCCTTGGTAACAAATACTGTTGAGAAAGATGTAATTGTAGTAAAGATTAACACTCAACATACAGAACAGGGGATTTTAGATTACAGTGGATAACCTGTAACTGGTGGACATAGAATTTACATTGTTAAACCAAATGAGGAGTCACTGAACTCAGCGTTCCCAAGCATGTATTAATGCACTTTGATCAAACCAACCTAAGAGATGAAATGATGGGTAACTCTCCCTGCCTCCTAGAAGGTTAGGACTGTTTAATAACACACCACCTAAAGCACAGTACTGTATACAAGATCTCAGTAAGCACTATAATACCAATGCCAAGAACTATTAGGCAAGACTGTAATTTATTCACACCATGAAAACTTCTTCTCTAAGGACTTTACATGTAGCTATTTAGCTTTATAATATATACATCTACTAGATGAATATTACAGAAACTGGTCATCTAAATACACATATAAAAATTACTATTTATTTTAATTTATGTATGTGAGTGTCTTGCCTGCATGTTTGAAGTGCACTATGTGCATGCAGTGCCTGCAGAGGCCAGAAGTGGGCATTGGATCCCCTGAAACTGTACTTCATACAGTTGTTAGCCACCATGTGGGTGCTGGAAACTGAACCCAGGTCCTCTGCAAGAGCAACCACTGCTCTTAACTGTTGAGTCATCTCTCCAGACCAAAAACTACTAATTAAAAAATTTTGTGTGTGTGTGTGTGTGTGTGTGTGTGTGTGTGTGTGTAGTCCAGGAAAAGGTGTGCCCACAGAGACCAGAATAGGGTGTTGAATCCCTTGGAACTGGAGTTACAGGCATTTGTGAGCTATCCCATGTGAGCGCTGGGATCTGAACTCTCGTCCTCTGATAGAGCAGTAAGTGTCCTTAACCACACAGCCATCTTTCGTCCCATAATTACTAACTTCTTTACTAACAAGGTGAGGTATAGATTCAAGACCACTCTCCTTTCCTTGCTCTTATTTTGCTTTTAATATCTAATTCATGTACATATGTACATACGTACATGTATACACACACATACACACGGAGGGGGGTGCCAAATTACCAAAATTACATGAAAACTATTTTAATCCCAAAATACTGATATGAAAATTTTCCATACTTAGCCTATTTTTGTATATGTGCACTTAATTTTTCTCTTTCAGCGCTTGTCAGTAGCTGGCTCTTTCTGTTTGTTTTTTTCAGACAGGGTCTCCTTGTAGCCAGGGCTGGCCTGGACTACCTGTAGAGACCAGGTTGGCCTTGATCTCACAGAGATCCAAGTTGCTAGGATTAAAGGTGTGTACCACACGCCCAGCTAGTACCTGGTTCTTCAACAAACACTTCTCACTTTTGAGTCCTCTGATCATTTACTTTCATGCAAATCAATGGAGGCCATCTTAACAAAAAGGTGACTAAATCACAAAAACTATTCCACATACAATTTAAAAATATTAGCACTAACTGGGAAAGAAAATTTTATTGTTGCTTTGTTTTTCAAAAAATGAAGATCCTACCAGGTATGGTGGCCCACACCTTTAATCTCAGCACTCCAGAGGTAGAGTTCCAGGCTACTTGGTTCGAGCCCAAGGAAGCTGTCACGAGATCAATGCATGAAACTCCAGAGACAGGCAGTCTGTGGAACTATGTGATATCATGACTTCTTTCAAAGTAGTTGTGCTCTTTTCAGTTCTTTGTAGTCTGCTAATTTGTGTTCCATTAGGACAGGACCACTACAATTTATAAAGCACATATATTTTATTAGGAAAACAACTTATTTATCCAACAAAAAAGGGTATAAAAGACAATAAAGAACTACCATCTCAACATTCAAGCTAAATACACTTACATACTTTAAAATAAAATAGAAACACTTCTGCCTTATATTACATACTTCAAATATGTGTAGTTGTTTTTTTTTACAATTTATAAATATTTTATTAGGAAAACAACTTATTTATCCAACAAAAAAGGGTATAAAAGACAATAAAGAACTACCATCTCAACATTCAAGCTAAATACACTTACATACTTTAAAATAAAATAGAAACAAGAAACACTTATATTACATACTTCAAATATGTGTAGTTGTTTTTTTTTTCTTTTTTTGT